TGCCATCAAAACCAGCAATGAAAGTCTGTTTCGAATCATTGTTGGAAAATGAAACGACCAATGAATTAGGATTAACTGGGTGACTGATTAACTGACGACTCAGGAATACGGCTTCCAACCAGTCTCTTTGTCCTGAACAAAAATGCCGTTGTCAGACACCAGGTTATTGAGTTCGGCTTACCGACAAGCTCTCACAATCAAAACAATTATCAAAATGTTCGCGTAGCAAGCTTTTAATGTGACAGCGTTATCAGCAAGACAAAAATGCGAACATAATGTGGTATGATGTTTGAGAAACCTTAATCATGATAGTGCTTCAAACCGTGCTCATATTCTGATAAGGTTTTGAGAAGTAATTGGAAATGATTTACACTGAACTTGAATGGGCGCATCATTTGTTTGTTGTTTGAATGGAATGCTCCTAATGATATGATTGAGAGTCCATTATCAATCGCCTATTCAGTTGTTGTCTTTCTTCTATATCTATCATTTCATTCTATGCGTGAGAGAGGTTTTCCTTCTGACGAAAACGTCGTTTTCAGATAACAGATTATCGAGTACACCTTATCGACAAGTAATCATAATCGAAGCAAACCTCACAAGAGCATCAAAAGAAACTTATAATGTGATGCAATAATCAGCACTTCAAGAATGCAAACACAATATGATGATCTTTGAATAATCTTAATGCTGCCATTGCTCCAGGAACTCGATAAGACGTCTAAAGTACATTCATATACTGATAAGATTGTGCGATGTAACTGAAATATGAATTTTAAGCCGCCTTTTGGAATGTGTATATCGTTTGGAACGAGCAGGAACTATTGCATTCCAACGAAAATAGTGCCCTAGCAAATGATTTAGTTATAACTTGATCGGATGCATTAGCTTGTTCTGTGAGTGGAATGCTCCAAATGGTATGTTTGAGGGAGTACAAATACCAATTTCGAATGCTTATATTCACCCATAGAAGAGCAAATAAATTCGACTGAACTGAACTAGCAATCTGCTAAAACGGGAAGGAAGATA